ATGCATAAATAACTTTCCCTCCATCAAAGGTTCCTATGTTTACGTGGGTATTTCCCACACCTGTCAATCCTCACTAACTCGAGTTTCTAGGCCCACATAATTGCTCAGTATCAATATAATGTTATTCTGACCAAATCTCTTCCAAAACTTGTGTGAGGTGAAAAGAATTTGCCCAGATCAGTAAGTTCAAGTCAGTTACACAACAAGTATGATGGCTATGTTTGATTTAAGAAAGAAATCAAAAGCTTTCTATAAACTTAAGCTAGGTTTACTTACCCGCACTTCCAAGTTGTTTATAAAACCTGTATTCTAAATGAAGCTGTGGTGCACGTGATTTAATTGGTTCCTAAAACAGAAAAAAAAAAAAAAAGGTTACAATCAGTTTGACTAAAAAGTTCTACCCCACACTTGAAGATTTGTGACTGTACATAATGCTTCAAGATAAAACACCCTAGACTTAAAGTCTAACAACAGACTTCACCATTAGATGTCATGTAAATAAGCAGAGAACAAAAAGTAGTAAGATTTGCACTCTGGAGAAGAAATAACTTGCTCAGTTAAATACAAAGCTCATTCACAGCAGTGAAATTCAAGACTTCTTCAGAGTAGCTCCTGGTCCTTGAAGAATGACCCTGGACATTGGTAAGAGGAAAGTCAAGGTTGCAAAAGCTCAAGTCCCACGTTCACTTTGTGGACTGTGGTTGCCGACAGTATTTTTGTTGATCACTTGCCTATATTTTTGAAAAATGTCGAGTCATATATCTGCGTTTTAAGTCAGACCACAGCTGTATAAAACGTACAACCTTGCTTGCAGCAAGCACTACATTGCAGCCAGGTGACTGGTAAAAACACAGGAAGAATTCTCCCCCTTCAGTAGCACACATCAGTCAAAGATCTCAAAGCACTCAAGAATATTCTATTTTTAGTCACAGAGTAAGTCTGCAATGCACCCGAAACATTACACTTCTCAACTGTTACTCATCATCTGCACTTTACACACAAAACTTAATGCCTACGATCCGTAAAGGCATTAACACGCAAGATTACAAAGCTCCTAAAAATGTAAAGTTAACATGGAGAGGATTAAGAGACTTGAGTAATTACATTTTGAATAAAACTCTGCACTTGGGACCAACTGTAATATGGATTCACCTACTGCCCAGGCATCTTTGAAAGGGAAGTTAATATTGGCCTCAATTTTTGTTTGGATGTTGCTCGTTTCCTTGCTTATGAGAAAAGAAATGCTCCATGATCAAAACTATGTAAACTTTGTAGCACGGCACCAAAGCCTTGCACCAAAGCACGGCTGAATAGCCCTCTACTTGATGAGCTCATCATGAAGCAGTTTTCCTACAAAGGAGCCCCCTAAGACCAAGACAAAAAAAGTCGTTTTGCGTTTCACATCAGCTCCTGTGAGTCAGAGCAAGAGCATTTTGGACATAGACAAGAGTTTGAACCAACATCTTCGATACAGTGGAATAACTCTTCCATATGCACAGGAGAACATAAAGGTTTTAGCTGATCCACTTTGTCTTGTTTCCCCTCTAGTCTGTACTGTAAGACTAATGTCCACATTTGGCGTGAATTCCACGTTGAAGACTTCTAAGTCGGAAGAACAATTTTTGTATAGGAATTCAGGCAATTTGACTTGTGGCCAAGCTGTTCAACACCAGCTCAAGTCACCCCCTCCATTTGCCAGGAAGGGGAGAACACACTCCTTGTTGCCTCTCAACTTTCTGATGTTTAAAAGCTTCAGAAGTCAAATATGATCAACTATTTAGAAAAGAATGGTGAAAAATATCCTGAAGGCAAAACTGAACCTGTACTGAATACAAATATAAAGCAATGCAAAAACAAGTTTCTTATACAAGTAATTTAAATCAAGATAATTTTTGATGGTGGCTTAAGGGAGAGTCTATAGATGCCTGCGCAGCAAAGGGATTTAGGGCAACAGCCTGTTCAGTGAATAGTTCATTAATCCAAATAAACTACTTGGATAAAGGTAGAAGGATTAATGTATCACAACGTGAGGCTGCTCATGACAAAACCAGGGAAAGCAAGCCCAAGCCACTTCTGCATCAGGAGCTGCTGGAACCTGAGCTCTGGGCGCTTGCCAGAGTTGTGGCAGCTTCCAGAAGATCATACCAGAACAGATGGTTGTCCTGTAGGCCAAGGGCTTAAGGATGTTGGCAGATGTTGTATTTGTAGCAAAAATAACTGAATTGCTACTGCCTAACATACAAAATCCACAGCTCTACCCAACGGCATCGCGATCACTATGAGAGGGTACAGCTCGGTACCCGCGTTCAGACTACATCTGTATGTTAACAGGCCCATTTCATGCAAGGAAGAAATTCCTCCTATGTGCAATTCAGCATTAAAGACCCTCAGAAGATTAAACCAGTAAACACAGCTAAGGCGTTTCAGAAGACAAACTCCTCCGTGAACTAGATGCCCTTAAGCAAATACTGTACAGCTGAAGAGCAGGATGAGGAGCTATAGGGTGACACCACACAAGTCAGAACACAGGCACTATTCACCACCACCAGCAATTTTCCAAGGTGCAGCACAATCCTCACCCCCAGAGAAACCATGAGATACTAGCACTGAATTTCACAGCACTTCCTGATCAGCTCTTCGGCATCCATCACACAGTTTTCTAATTTTCCAGCTTTAACATCATGACAGGAGGCACGAAGAGCTGAGACAGCAGGGTTGCAGTTGCAGAAGATGATCTCACACAGCTAGAAGGACTTGGAGCAGAGTTTTGACTTGGTCCAACAATGCAGATGAAAGAAAATGTTGCCTTCAAGTACGTTGAAAGCAGCTACTCTACCACTAGTTCGCAAATTATTCGAAAGATAAAGAAAATTACAGTTAAGTACAGAAGAGAAGTATATTTGCTGCTGAAGAATTCTTACTCCGGGGGAATACGGTCTAAGATTAGGAGGCCAAAAAACCCCCATCTCTCCCACTGTTCCCTCAATCCTCTCAAAAACGGAGCAGCTATGTGAATGTCTAGATGGCCACTGGATGGCAATTCCAGTCCTTCAAATGCAAGAGACCAGAGATTTTTTAAGCACAAATCACAACAGGGCAAATAAACCTGGAGTGTGTTGCAGAGTAACTGCTTTAACGCTCAGTTATTTGTGGGGGTTGGGGAAGAACGAAAGAATGCTAACGGAAAAAAAATAGGTAAGATTAAGGTAGCAATAAGGTAATGCCAGTCAGCTCTGCCATACAGCTATGGAGAGGTTTCAGGTTACTGGGAGGTGTCACTGCAGGCACTGTTTTGAGAGAAACAAGCATCCTTTGGACTAATACAGCTGTGTTTTTCCTATATTATTACTTCCTTACACCTTCCAATGCTATAACTTTGTGGGATTATCTTTGAAAGCAAGTTAGAAGCGTTACTTGATTCAATAAAACACCTCGTCTGTGTACACAGCGTGTGTTCTAGTGTCAGATCTGCTTAAAAAGCAAGCTACTCAACAAGCACCAGTCTTCCTTCCTGATGTGGATCCATATCAAGGACATCCTAAACTCCACTGCAGGCATCTATTTGTTTTAGGGAATTATCTTCTGACATTTGCCAACAGGCTTGAAAACAAGTCCCTCCTGCAAAGCCTTAATTATTTTTCATCTCCCATGCATCATATAAGGAGAGCGCTAGAGATATAAAATCTGCGGCACTTGAACATGGTCAGAATTAATGCACCAAGTCCATCTTGATCTTCTGTAATCTGAATGACTCCTGTCATTTTGCCAGACAACATCGGTTGGCAAACAGGTGTGTTTGCTGCTAATATCAAATTAGCATTACAACTTGAACTTCAGATTCTAGGGTTTGGATCTGCGATTAAAGAACATACGGATGAGAAAAGAGCACATCAGACATCACGTCTGAAAATCCCGAGAGACTAATGAAAGTCTTAGCTTACAGACAGGAAAAGTTAAAGCATAAACACAAACTACTGGACTATAATTCTATAAATCCAGAAAACCTACAAGTTACAGAATTTCACCATCCCCTAGGCTCCTACTTCAAACCATGGTTGACCACTGTGCCTCCATGCCCTGAAGCAGTCTTCAGAAGACAAATTTTTACCTGGACTGCTCGCTGGTCCAGGTATAAGAAACATGGAAGCTGTCACTGCGTGCACCTGGGGAGGGCTACATCCACTGCAGGGCAGAAAATGACCTGACAGCTGGTACTGAGGCTTGTAATACTGGCTGAGAAGAGATGTGTGAATGAAACTGCTTGCAAAGTTCTGAAGCCCACTGCTGTTGGGGCTTGGGTTTTTTAACGCACTGCTTGCAATGCTTTGGTGAGCCATTTTGATTCATTTTTACCATCCTATGACATAAAAGGAGCAAATCATTCTGAAGATGCTGTGGCTAAATATCCTCAGCCACTCAAATCAGCTAGAGGAAAGATCGACTTTTGCTGAATTGGATCTTGTTTTGCCTGTTGCATCTGCAGTCTCTCAGAGTCCTACCAGACTGAGCTGTGTTACTCCGCCCCAAGGGAATTTTAACCATCGAAACACCCCCTTTTCCTGCCTCTCGAGGAGCAGCAGGCTGCACACTGCCATGCTTCTAACCAAACACTCTGACAACAGCCCATCTAGAGAGAGTTCTGGAGAATCAATGGAGTCCTGAACAGAAAGGCTCAACCCAGGGAGTAGGAAGAGGTAGCAAACCTGCAAGCAGTGCCATTCACCAGGGCCTGGCAGCCAGCTTGGAATGAGGAACAAGAGTCTCCCTGGTATAAGACACCAACACACCATTTAGGTACCAAA